CTTTTTGGAAAATTACTACATATTGGTCGCCCCTGGATGAACGTGTTCGTTCGAGTTTTGCAGAGAAGAGAAACGTTGAGTCTGGGACCTCGAACCGGGAAGACCGCTCAAAAACCGCTCAAAAACCGCTCAAATCTTGCTTGAAAACCGTTCAAAAATCACCGCAAGAAATGAGCGGTTTTTGAGCGGTTTTTGAGCGGTTTTTTAAGCAAAATTTGAGCGGTTTGAGCGGTTTTTCCAAAAAAAACCGCCCAAACCGCCCAAACCGCTCAAACCGCTCAAATCTTGCTGGAAAACCGCTCAAACCGCTCAAATCTTGAGCGGTTTTTGAGCGGTATCTCGACCCGGGTAGCTTTATTTTTGAAATTGACAATATGATCGTTCCCTCTAATTGTTTGTATGAGGATTTGGGTTTCAATTTTCAGGAATTTGTCGATTTGCTCAGTAAATCCTAAAAACCCTCAACAAATTTAAAATTTTGTGAAAAGATATTCAAACAGGGTACAACTGTTGAAACCAAATTTTGATTACAAAGAGTCAAATGTTTTGGTTTTTTTCGTTCTTCAGTATGCAAAGCTCAGAATAAAGGAGTTAAAATACAAACTTTTCCATAATTTTTGTGATGAGAGAAAGTTCGAGGAACTCGAGATTGAATCAGATTTCATTTAGCGTTAGCAGAAAAAACAATTGTGTTTTAACTAAGAAGACAGCTCAATGGAGACATTGTTGTCGAAATGACCGCAGAGATAGTTTTACAGCCAACGCAAAAAAAAAATTTCTCACCTACTTGTTCTGAAAAGAAAACTGTGTAAAAATTGACTACATGCCTTCTTCTAATCCGAGTTTGTAACCATACTTCTCCTGCAGATACTTTCGTAATTTTAGCTGCTACGTTGAAAAAAAAATCAACTTTGAGATGCAGGTCTCAAAGTTTTCTTCAAAAAGCTTGCGGGGCTCGCTGATTTAAAGTGGGTGAACCTGTTCAATAGGTTCTACCTTCATATTCCGTTTTTAAAAATGTTTTCGCAGTTCTATACCTTTGTAATTTATAATATTCGCACGTTTAGAACTGAATGATACTCGTTGACTCTTAGGCCAGCTTCAGTCCGGGCGTTAGAAACGCCACAAAAAACGGGAGTACCTAGAAAGTTAATATTTTGGAGTATTCAGTAGAAAAAAAAACGGGTTTTTTTTCTACAGGCTTAGAAGTATGGACAGTTTTCATTTTTTTTTCGATTTAATGTTCTTCGTAAAGTGCTCCTAATAGTTACATTATGCACAATGTGCGCCCTTTCCTGGACAAACTGTTAGGTAGCCTTTTGGGAGTCTATCTCCATATTTCATGTACGAAATTTTTTGTTCGACAGTTATGTAGGTTCTTTTTTTACGTTAAAATTACGTTGGATGTTTAAGTTTAGTTTAGACTAGCATTTTAGGGGTACATACTTTAATTTTTTATTATGGCACAGTCAAATCACAAATAAGACATGAAGGGAGTACCTCCATTCTGGCAAAACCACAAAATCGACCCTCAAATCCTCCGCAGACTGTGCCATAATAAAAAATTAAAGTATGTACCCCTAAAATGCTAGTCTAAACTAAACTAGAATAAAAAGAAAAAGAATTAGGGCTGTCGTATTGAATGTTGTTCCATAAAAACTAACAATCAATTACGTCAGTTCTTACCTTTGGAGTGTACATACTCAAGGTCAGGCCGTACCAAAACAGTTATTTAGATTAATTTATTTGAGCAACTACAACATACTGTTATCCTCAATGGACTGTGTTGCTATATTTAGACAAGGCCAGCTTGGTGCCTATAGCGAGCAGGGTCGTGACCGAAACGGAACAGTTCAGTGTGAAATGTGTGGTTTTGGAGGCACAGCCACACCCCCACAAGTTCTCATGGACTCTCAACTCACTACCCATCTACACTGGAGAGGTATAACTGCAAAAACTAACATAATCCATCCAAAAACTAATTTAACCTTCTTTGTTCACGTAGTTTATTTGAGCACATTACTTTCCGACTGATTTTCCCATTTAAATCTTAAAGTTGAGTTTCGTTTTCTAGAAACCCAATTTATCTCAATGGCTGTTTAGAAATTTCACCATCAACGCTTTTCTCAATTTTCGAAGCGTAGTTGTTTAGTACAAAAATGTTCAGCGAAAATTCCCAGATTGAGCAATTTGAATAATTTTTTTTTTTCGAACAAGCCCTGTATGAAAATTAGTATGGCCAGCAAATCAAAATGAAACCATGTAGTATAAGTCTGAGCAATTCTCGATAAAAACCCTAATCTGTCAAAAATTCACGTCATAAAAAAGACCAAATGGGGTGACCCTTTGAATGGTGAGGGGTCGAATCCCTAATGAGCAAGGAGTCCAACCCCCATACCCCCATCACACCAGACCCGACGGTACCCCGCCCCCTACTACCCGCCCCCACTCCGCTCCCCCATACCACCCACCCAAAGAAAAATCCACCCATGCCCTCAAGTGTCGAGATAAGGATTAGTTTATGGTATCCAGGCGCTTTCGATAAAATAGGAAGCGAGCAGGGGGATAAAACAGGAAGTAGGCATTTTCTGAGCTCCCCCAAATTACTATTTAAACCCCATTTTGACCAAAACTTCTGCGCCGCATGCAAAGTTTTAAAAAAAAATAGGCCAAAAAGGCGTTTTGATGCACTTTTTGGATAAAAAATTGCGTTTTTTCGGGGCGCGCTCCCCCCTCAAAATTATTATATATTGGCGCCCAAGGCCCCTTTAGAAACATTTTAAGGTCAGTCAGCCAAAAAATGTATATCTCAAAATAGTACAAAGGGGACCCTTTGGGTCGGCAGAGGTTCGAATTCCCGAAGGGAGAAAGCGTCCGCGCCCCCTCCCCCCTAAATCCGCTGGTGGAAGTAGGTTTTTCATTAACAGTTTTCAAATGTATTTAGACAAGGGATCTCATTTTTCAAGTTTAAGACACTAATTTTTGGCATCGAATTTAGTTTAATCCATTCATCCACAATGAAAAGGACCAGCATAAGAGCTATACAGCTGATCATGGAGAACGGCTGTTTTGCCCCTGTTCGAGGAACTATATGTAATTTTTTTGGTTAGTTTTCTGTTCTGGGTAATATTTCCTGCCCCTCAAGCTGCAAGCGCGGTTCATGGTGAGCCTCGAGCATCCGACCTTTCGATTAAGAGCGGAGACGTAACAATTCACCACCGTTCTCCCGAAACTGACTATTTTTTTCTAAGGGACCCTTTATTTATATATAATAACTTCTGTAATGTATCAAGGTAGATTTTTCCCTGTGTTACGTTGCCATCAATTAATACTCTAGAACTCGGATTCTACACATCCGCATGAGCATGGTGAAAAACTATAAAATAATGTTAAAAGTTTTCAAGCTTTTTTGTTTTGTATAATTTTTGACAGGTTTGAGTCTTTGCTCACCTACAGTTTGCTTTATTGACTTATACCGTCACTGTCTTTATTTATCCATCGGTCGATCGGCAGAGAACTTCCATGAAACATCTCTACTGAATTTGTAATTGTCATCGAGGTAAAACAGCTCGCTGCTTTTAAAATGCTCATTAAATGGCAGGTTCTCGTTTGGGATGCGAACAGCAATTATGAATAACTAATTTTCATAGAGTATGCTTCAAAATGCTTCAAAATGTTCGGGTCATTGTTGTTTTTCTCCAGAAACGTTCGGATGGTTACCGTTACAATCATTTTCATTTTTTCAAGCACATGAAGATAATTTTGCTATCCGGGGTTTAAGTCCGGGGTCGCCTTCTCATATAGTAATTTTGGATGAGGGTGCACTGTCTGTTCGTTACGCTATTTATTTTCAGCCGGATAGGTTGGTACAACTCGTATCTAGTATTTTCTCGAGGGGTAAGGCGGATTTTCAAAAATTTTTGTTAAACTTTGTCGACCTTTGTTCGAGCTCTCCCAAAGCACTAAAAAGACCCTTCGTTTTCAGGCACTTCTTAGAAGTTTTTACCAGAAAGTCGCGTTCTTTCGGTGCGCGCTGCCTCCTAAAAATTAGTACTTTAGAAAATAATTGGGTCCGTCAGCCAAAAATGGATATCTCAAAACATTACAACGCGGGGAAGGGAGGAGGCCGAATCCCTTTGGGTTGGCTGGGGGTCGAATCACTGTGGGAGGGTGAATCAGCCTCTGGTCTAATACCAATCCTAATTTTACTCTTAAATCCTGTATGAAAATTAGTATGGACAGCAAATAAAAAAAACCATGTAGTATAATTCTGAGTAATTTTCGATAAAGACCCTAATCTGTCAAAAATTAACGTCATAAAAAAGACCAAAGGGGTGACCCTTTGAATGGTGAGGGGTCGAATCCCTACTGAGCAAGGAGTCCAACCCCCAAACCCCCATCACACCAGACCCTAAGGGAACCCGCCCCCTACTACCCGCCCCCACTCCGCTCACCCATACCACCCACCCAAAGAAAAATCCACCCATGCCCTCAAGTGTCGAGATAAGGATTAGTTTATGGTATCCAGGCGCTTTCGATAAAATAGGAAGCGAGCAGGGGGATAAAACAGGAAGTAGGCATTTTCTGAGCTCCCCCAAATTACTATTTAAACCCCATTTTGACCAAAACTTCTGCGCCGCATGCAAAGTTTTAAAAAAAATAGGCCAAAAAGGCGTTTTGATGCACTTTTTGGATAAAAAATTGCGTTTTTTCGGGGCGCGCTCCCCCCTCAAAATTATTATATATTGGCGCCCAAGGCCCCTTTAGAAACATTTTAAGGTCAGTCAGCCAAAAAATGTATATCTCAAAATAGTACAAAGGGGACCCTTTGGGTCGGCAGAGGTTCGAATTCCCGAAGGGAGAAAGCGTCCGCGCCCCCTCCCCCCTAAATCCGCTGGTGGAAGTAGGTTTTTCATTAACAGTTTTCAAATGTATTTAGACAAGGGATCTCATTTTTCAAGTTTAAGACACTATTTTTTGGCATCGAATTTAGTTTAATCCATTCATCCACAATGAAAAGGACCAGCATAAGAGCTATACAGCTGATCATGGAGAACGGCTGTTTTGCCCCTGTTCGAGGAACTATATGTAATTTTTTTTGGTTAGTTTTCTGTTCTGGGTAATATTTCCTGCCCCTCAAGCTGCAAGCGCGGTTCATGGTGAGCCTCGAGCATCCGACCTTTCGATTAAGAGCGGAGACGTAACAATTCACCACCGTTCTCCCGAAAATGACTATTTTTTTCTAAGTTACCCTTTATTTATAAATGATAACTTCTGTAATGTATCAAGGTAGATTTTTCCCTGTGTTACGTTGTCATCAATTAATACCCTAGAACTCAGATTCTACACATCCGCATAAGCATGGTGAAAAACTATAAAATAAGGGTAAAATTTTTCAAGCTTTTTTCGTTTGGTATAAATTTGACGAGTTTGAGTCTTTGTTCACCTACAGTTTGCTTTATTGACTTATACCGTCACTGTCTTTATTTATCCATCGGTCGATCGGCAGAGAATTTCCATGAATTATCTCTACTGAATTTGTAATTGTCATCGAGGTAAAACAGCTCGCTGCTTTTAAAATGCTCATTAAATGGCAGGTTCTCGCTTGGGATGCGAGCAGCAATTATGGATAACTAATTTTCTTAGAGTATGCTTCAAAATGCTTCAAAATGTTCGAGTTATTGTTGTTTTTCTCCAGAAACGTTCGGATGGTTACCGTAACAATCATTTTCATGTTCTCAAGCACATGAAGATAATTTTGCTATCCGGGGTTTAGGACCGGGGTCGCTTTCTCATATAGTAATTTTGGATGAGGGTGCACTGTCTGTTCGTTACGCTATCTATTTTTTGCCGGATAGGTTGGTAAAACTCGTATCTAGTATTTTTTTGAGTGGTTATGCCGATTTTCAAAAATTTTTCCGAAACTTTGTCGACCTTTGTTCGAGCTCTCCCAAAGCACTAAAAAGACCCTTCGTTTTCAGGCTCTTCTTGGAAGTTTTTACCAGAAAGTCGCGTTCTTTCGGTGCGCGCTGCTTCCTAAAAATTAGTACTTTAGAAAATGTTTGGGTCCGTCAGCCAAAAATGGATATCTCAAAACATTACAACGCGGGGAAGGGAGGAGGCCGAATCCCTTTGGGTTGGCAGGGGGTCGAATAACTGTGGGAGGGTGAATCAGCCCCTGGTCTAATACCAATCCTAATTTTACTCTTAAATCTGCCCCTGGTCAAATCGAAATCCTGATTTTACTCTCAAATCTTATATTTCCAGGTCTCAATAGATCTAGAGATATACTGATTTTTCTCGAGGTTAGAGGAGAGAAGAAAACAAGTTGTTTCAACATGTATTAAAAATTCTCTGACTGAAATACGAATAGTTTAAACTTTACAATTATATCCTAAGTTCTATTCATGGTTCATGACTGATTAGTTAATAATTTTTTACAGTGAGATGTATCACAGTATTCAAAAAAAGGTTTTCGTTTTGATTCCACCCAACCGGGTTTAGTAACTTTTTTTAAAAGTTTTTCTTGTGAGATTGAATTAAGGTCTTCTAAAATTTTTATGTAGTGCGTAGATTGACTCAGCCTGCGAAGTACATGTGATGATGTTGAGGAATTGTTGTGAAACCTGAGAGATTGTAGTTTGGATTTGTGTCCTGTAGAGTGTCAACAGAGCAAAACTACGTGCATTCTCAATATTCGTTTGCAATTGATCGAGTAGCGAGATTGACTTCTCTGACCAAAGCACCAAGTAGCAGGGATACATATGTTCAAGTTTTGGTCACGAGTTGACCATTGTTCGGTTTTATTGAGTTCCTTTGGTGTGATGTCTGCTCCATACTTTATATCCAATGAGTGTTGTGACTCGGCAACAAAAACTAATAGATTTGCCTTTCTATAGTCGGAATGTCGTCGAGTACATCTCCCTTCTGCTGCTCGTGTAT